GGGATTGAACTCAGGTCCTTCCGCTTGCCAGGGAAGTGCTTATTCCACTGAGTCATTTCCCTGCCCCCCTATTAATCAGTTTTGAAACTATCTCATTGCTATTGGTTTCTCAATAAAATTAATAAAAAATAAACAAATAAAAAATAAATTGAAAGTTCTGGAACGACATACGATCAAGACTGGTACCAGAACTGTGCATCAATATAATCAAGAATCCAGTTCTGCCCAGCCGTTTTAGTGAATAACAACTCTGATAATACACCAACAGATGTATTCCTTTGGGGTCAGGGGAACCTCAAGACTCCACGGAAGAAAAAACAGTAATGCCTAAAAACAACAAGTGATATCTAATAGTACTTTCTAACAGAACCCTCTAAAAGTCAGTTTACAAAGTCTGTTTCGCACATGAAATCTAGAAGTGTTAATTCTTTCAAACTGTTTCATTCATAACTATGATTTTCAGCATCTGAACAGACATTAATATACCGGCAACATCTTATTTTTTAATTTTGCTCATGTGATCATACTGCAGCTATCTTGTTAGTAAACGCTAAGACATGTATGGGTGGCTTTCTGCTGTTATTGATGTCCAAAATATTTACGCTTGAACAACAGCTTGTTGATTGTCTGAGAAAATTACCACCATGCTAGTTGCAAAATACATGATTTTGTCCTTGAAGGACCGTACCGTGAGAATCACATGTATTAACAAGCTAAGAGAGAAGCAACATGGAATTCCTCTGATCACTGAATAACAGAGTGGCCTCCTCATGAGCTCCATGTTTTGGTGCCTGCTTTCAGTTCTGGGGCACGTGAAGGGCATGCTGTCTAGTCCCACATAGAATATATTCTTTTTTTTTTTTTTTTTTTTCAGTACCAGGGATTGAACTCAGGACCCTGTACTTGCCAGGCAAGCACTTATTCTACTGAGCTATCTCCCTGGTTCCCCCCAAAGAGAATAAAAAGCACAGAAATATGAGCTAACCCTGAGATCACCTTTGCTCCAAAGATGCCGGTAGCACTGGTCCAGAGGCTGGTTAAGAATCACAAGGCAGAACTTCAAGTTTCCTATTGGAAAAAAGAAGACAAAGTGTATAAGTGAACTGAGTTTTTTATTCTTCCTCTTTACATCTAGAACTATCCTCTACCAGCCCATATTTTGCATACAGACAGAGCTATATTTCAACCACAGATACCTTCTTATACTTCCAGTTTATTACACTTCATGCATAATTAAGACCTACATCTCACTCAGTAGATCTGTCACATTCCTGTGCTGCTGAGGAATTTATTATAAAAACAATCGATGAACAGGACATGAGTGTGCATGACTATACTTTCAGCACTCTAGGAGTGTGACAGGGGTGACTGAGTGACTTGTCAGTACCCTGTCTCAAAATTTAAAAATAAAAAGTGCTAAGTTCAATCTCTAGTACCCCAGAAATGTCATCATAATACAATAGGTTCTACTTCTTGTCACGTGCAGGGAAATGTTCTTGATACTAATTCTCCTCCTTATAATGTTCCCACAACTTTGAGACACCTACTACCCTTTGGCCTCACCAATTTAATATCATCCCAATACTATTCATCAACTGGTACGGGTAGGGTCATGTGCATTTTCACACACATTTTTCTTCACTGACAGCATCTCCTCTATCTCTTTTTCCATCCATACTCTATCTTGAACTCTCTGATGCAAAACTCTCTATTCTCACAAAATCCTACTAGGTTTTTCAAAACTTTTCTATTCCAGGCTATTAAACAATGCTCCAAAGAGTTAAGACATAGAGGGAATTTTATGTCTCCCAACAACCACTCCATGCCCTTTGTAATGAACTCCAAATAAATAATACAAAGTAAGTATGTAATCAGGCTATTGAAAATTTGTCCTTCAGTTCAGTGCAAGAACTCTCTAGTCCTTTTAAGGAAAAGATACGTTTTGTGATATAAAACATTAATTGTTTGCAAAGAAACCTCAGTATCACAGGTGAAACAAGACAAGGAAATGAAAAGAATAGCCATAATCAATAGAAAATATTTTATCAATTACATAGCCAGCCCTGGAAGTACAAAAAGAAGATTGCAGTCTCTAGGTGAGAAAAGGCATTTATAATAAAGATTTATTCAATGAGTATATGAGAAGTGCCTGAGAAACAGATCAATGAGAATGACAGGAGTTCAAAGTCTAGGAAATCAATAAGGTCGAGTATCTTGCTAAACATCTGTATGAAACATAGATTTGTGAATCTGAATAAAGAAATTGAAAAGAAAAAAGGACATTTCAGCAAAGAAAAAAAGCTCACTGAAACTGTAGTCCTTAGCCATTTAGCTTAACATACTGACAATTTGAAAAGACCCTAAAACATGACTCTTGGTCTTCAATATGAAAAAAAAAAATCACAGCTTTTAGACATAGTGTTTAAGATGACGAAGGAATTTAAGTTAAGGCACTCAGGGAGGACTTACGAGAGACGCAGGGATGAGTAGTGACTACGCTTTATGGATACCTGGGACGCGCCCATTCAGAGCGAACTGCTGAGTGCAAGAGCAGACTGCGGCTGAGATTTTGCAGAAAAGGACAGAAAAGGAAAAGAGAAAATGAAGGTGGAACCAAGGTCTTGCTGACCATTACATAGCAGAAGATCAAAGAGGAAGGAAAAGTCAGAAAGATGGAATAATTAGTATCGTCTCTAAGAATGATCTGTCTGAAACACAAGAAGCCAACTGGGGATGGGTGGGAGGAATTTCAAAGAAAAAATGGACAATTCAAAGAACCTCAAGGCAGTGGATGCTAAAATACCGGTAGTTAATAAACAATCAGCATATATAAAGGAAGCACGGACACCTGAAAATAAAGAAATAGTCTACAGAAGCATAGGAAAATAAGAGACAAGGGGAAATTCACAAAACTCTCTTGTGCAGACACTGTCCCAAGCAAGGAACTGGGGCACAGAGCCCCCACGCGCCCCCATGGCAGGTGTACCTGTGGCTGCCAGCAGGAGGAGCGGAGGTTCAGGTGCATGGAGACACTCCAGCGAGGCGACTAAGCTGGCTTATTTACAATGAACTACACAGAAAGTGAGGACTGAGCAGGCAATTAGACTGGAATGTCAACACTGCTTTTAAACAAACAGAGGAGCTCACAGTGCATAATTTTCAAACAAGAATTTCAACAGGGGCTAACAGGTACATGGCACTAGCTCTGGCTACAATTTTAGGACTTTTTGCACTTATTCTGGGGAAGAGAAGTGGGATTTTGTGCAAACAAGCAGGGTGGTGATGATAGCTTTGAAAACTGGCATAGATACTTGTGAAAAGGTAAGAGAACTTCAGGGATTTGTTTGGGTAGCTTTAAGATGAGTAACTGTGACAGAGACCAGCATTGCTTTGTGAGAGTCTCTTATTAGTGAAACAATCTTGAGGGATTTTTTCTGCTTTTTTTTTTTTTCTTCATTTGTCTTACTGAGTACATCACATCACTTACTCAGAAAACCAAATAAATAAAAATATTCCAGAGACACTTCCAGCAAAGTATGGCCATCGGGCTAGCAACAGTCAAGAAGAAAATTCAGAAGTATTGTGCATTATTTCTAGGGAGTTTCTTGACAATGAGGGAGCTTCTACTCCTGTTTTTTTATTATTAATTTTATTGAGAAACTAATAGCAATGAGATAGTTTCAAAAAGGTTGGTAGGACAGTTACAATAATTAATATACTGCATATGTTGTCTTCATAGTAGTTATTCATAATACAAGATGCAGACATGATATCCTGTCCAAACACTATTTGTACAAATCTTTCTTCTCATTGAATTAAGAGAAAGTAGCTATACATGCTAACAATTTTGTATATACAGATACAAAATGATCCTTCATTAATATCTCCCTTTTTGTTTACTTTTGTCAGAGATGGGTATTCCGTTGCCATTTAAATATTGTAGGTGCATGAATTCAGCAAAATAATCCAATATAGTCCAGTAGTCCATAATAGTAGTGGGTTATCCATCGGACAGGCAATGTCAGAAGTTGTTGACTTGAGCCTTTTACAGCTCAGCAAATTATTATGGCTTTACTTTTTTTTTTTTTCAGAATTAGGGATTGAACTCAGGCCCTTGCATTTGCCAGCCAAGTGTTTATTGTATGGACCATCTTGCCAGCCCCAATGGCTTTACTTTTTATATCTCATTTTTATACTTTTCTGCTGGATAGTTAAGATAAAGATAAAGCAAGACCTATATAACAAGAAATGTAACTTTTGTATCTGACAGGTCAGTCAAATCCCCTCAGGATTTACCCCAAAATGCTGTACTGCAGTTTGTAGATCCTCTGTCAGTGTCAGCCATGTGGATGAGTCACAGCCACTGACTGACCAATTTGCTCTCTATGAAAGCCTGAGAGAATGTTTTCTTTCCCTGTCATTCTCCTTAGGTACATTATACATCATCGATCACTTTCCTCTTTGGCCCCATAATCTTCTTGATCAGAAAATTTGGGACACAACTGAGTTTCAGGATGTTATAGTACAGGTTCTCCTATGTCTTGAGTCCTCACTGACCTTAAAAGGCTAGGGCCAAAATGTTGGCTGTCCTTGCAGCCCTTCTTTTTCTCTAATTTTTGGTCTGCAAACTTAAATTCTCCAGAAGAGAAGCTTAATGTTATTATTACCCTATCCTTCTTGCCATAGAAGAGCCAGGACTGAAGGATTCGCTGAATGACTGTTCAGCAGCCATCCTGGAAGACAGGAATGGGATCAGGAGCCAGGGTTGCAGATGACGTCCTGAAGTCAATACTAGTGTACTTCTCTGCCTATCCCTAGATTCCTTTTATGTGAGGAAAACAATGAATTTTCAACCCCTTTGAGAAACTCATGTGGAAACAACAGTAAGTTCAAACACCAGGAGTGGAAATGGAGCACCGGTCGCTATTTTGTGGGAGTCTGTAGAGAGTCACAGCCAGTATGCCCAACAGGAGATGAACGGATACACAAAGTGTGGTATTCATATACAATGGAGTACTACCCTGCTATAAAGGAAGATAAACTTGAACTGCTTGTAGGACAATGTATACACCTTGAGACCATGGTAAATGAAATAAATCAGACTACATGCTTAAATACTGCATGCTTCTTTTATATGAGAAAATCGAAGCATAAATAAACAGCAAATTAAAGGCTAGACAATAGGGAACGGGGATGGAGGGAGATGGAAATGAAGGGGAACAGGATGAAGAAAGAATTATGCTGCACCTTCTGCACGTACTAACTTATTACATGCTGCAAATATATATTAAGAAAAAAAAGCTAAAACTGCCAATCATATTTTGTTTATTTTTAAAAAGATTTTTTTTTAATGTATTTATGTATTTGGTACAGGGCCTTGCTATGCAGCTCAGACTCGTAGTGATCCTCCTGTTTCAGCCTCCCCAGTGCTGAGATTACAGGTATGTACCACTACATCCAGTTTTGAGGCTGGCACAGTATACCATGAGTTCCAGGGCTGGCACAGCATGTGGTACCAGGGATCGAACTTGGGCCCTTGGGCCTGTCAGGCAGGTGCTTAGACCACCGAGCTATCTCCCCAGACCTTCCAGTCAGATTCTTGAACTCTTCTTTTATTCCTTTCTCTTTTCCTAAAGGTGATTGTCAAATTCTCTGTGGAACATGGTAAGAGGTGAGGATTGCTGGCCCTTCCCCTGGACCAATCAAATTGTATCTCTGGGCATAAGACAGGAATCTGCAATTTGCAAACGGATTACTCTGACAAGGCGGTACATGAACATCTGTTTTGTTCATTTATTTTTAGTGCCATAAGACTCCCAAAGAGGTAGGCATCCATAAGACTTCTTACGCCTTTTTCAGCTGTAAACTAACATCTCACTAGGGGCAGGCACCACAGCTGTGCGAGTCAACTCATTTATTCTTTCAGAGACTACATGTCAAGGTCTGAATCAGGTACTAGAGGAATAAAAACACACTGTGATTTCATTGAAGTAAATGCAAGTTTGGGTTTTCACATTCTTCCTTTAGGATGAGAAGCCATGTTTGGACAAACCAATCGTCTTCCTCTT